GGAGCCTTGAGGAGCATACTCTTCAAACTGTGGACAGCCAAAGTCCGTTTTGGAGCTGGGCCACAATGTCCAAGACCTTCCTGGCCCTTTGATACACATGTCTGATCTATGGGGTTGGCATTCATGAACGTGAATGGGATTAAAATGTGAAAAGCTGTATAATTATAGTGTTATATGTTAGGAACATATAACAAAACAGGTTGATAGCACTTCAAACAACAACGTAACCCTGGCCACGTGGCTCAGCATCATCCCAATACACCAGGGTTGCAGGTTCAATTCCCAGTCAGGGCACATACAAGAATCAACCAATGAATGTATAAGTGGAACAACAAAACAATCTTTTTCTCTCTCTCTTTCTCTCTCTACTTATTCCCCTCTCTCTCTCTAAAATCAATAAATAAAAATTTTAAAAAGAAAAAGCTATGTATAAACCTCATGAAATTCTCTCAGTTACATGGTAAACCTGAGTATTTGGGTCTTGGGAGACCATTGCAAGTGAAGACAATCCCTAGGGGTGTTCTGAACAGCAGGTGCTTGAGGCAGAGAAAAATCACCTTTCTATCTTCAGGAATATAAACTGCTTCTCCTGGGAGGGCACTGCCAAGTCTACTGGGATCCCTGGTCTCCAGCGCAGAACATTCTGCTTTGGGATTTGAACTTAGCTAACAACATAATCACTGAACCTTTCCAGATATCCTTAGAGCTTTTGATAACAGTGCCAGTTTCTTCTTGTTTGTTTGTCAAGAAGGAAATTGCCCTAAATATGCTCCTTCATTTGTACTAGACCCAAAAGCTAAGACAGACAGAAAGAAACACAGGTTCAAAAACTTACTCTAAGTTGGGTGAGGAGAAAATGCTGTACAGAGATTTATATTTATGAACTAGGGGGAAAAAAACGTTTGCTCATTTTCCTGGCACAAACATTTTATTTTATAAGTAAATTTTAAATGTGAGTAGCTAAAGTGCTTAATTATCACTACTATTTACAAATTACAAGTGTGCCAGTGCTCAGCAGGTCTCTTGGATGACCCGTCCTTAGGTGAGGCCATTCAGCATCACGGTAAGACCATGAGCTTGGGTGTCAGGCCAACCTGGGTCCAAACCCAGCTCTTCTACTCACTACCTGTGCAACTTTTGGCAGGTTTCTTAACTGCATATGCCTCTGTTTCCTCATTTGTAAAAGGAGGATTAAAAGCAAGTAGTACTTGCTTTGTTGTTAGGAATAATAAATAGAGAAAATTAGAAAGCGTTTGGCACAATGTTTGAGGCATAGCAGGCCCTCAGTGACTGATGACTGTTCTGGAGCGGTACCACACCCACAACCAGAGAGCGTTACATCCTTGTGCTGAAGCTATTTTTTATGTTCACTGATACGTTTGCTTCGTCTCATGTCCCAGCTTCTTGCCAATTCCTTTTTTTGCTCTTAAATGGGGAAAACCACTCCTTCCTTATCAAGTCCCCAGGGCTGTTTTGAGCATAACAAAGGAGGGACACACTGAAGGGACACTTGGAAAAGCATGGAGTACTGTACAATTCAAACAGGAGTTGAGCCACAGACAACAACAGGAAGCTGCGAAATCTTGAAGTCTTTCTGGCAGGTGCAGGAGGCCTTTGCCAAATAACCCTGAGTGTCCTGCCAGGAGCTGCTCCTGAGTACTTGGGAATTTTGCTAGCACAGGAACACGCATGCCTGAAGGAGGGTGCAATTCCTCCAAGCACCTGTCCTAAACAGGATGCTCCAAGCACACAGAGTGCCTTCCTGGGAATCCCACTTCCTGTGCTGTGTTTATAGTCCTGGGCCCAGCAGCACAAAAACTGGACCTCTACTGTGTCACAGCAGTGGGAGGCAAACAATAGAAATCATTGTTTTTTAAAAAGAATAAATTACTTTCTTGTTTTTCTTTTGAGAGAGAGAGAAAGAAGGAGAGAGAGAGAGAGAGATCTTTATTTGTTGTTCTACTTATTTATACATTCATTGGTTGATTCTTGTATGTGCCCAGACCGGGGATCAAACTCACAACCTTGGTGCATAGAGTTGACGCTCTACCCAATCAAGCTATTCAGCCAGGGCTATTGTTCTTGGAGCTAAACTTTAGGGGATGCATGTGTGTGCTGCCATAGCAAACACTTTTGATATTGCTTTGCATGTTGTTATTTAATCCTCATAATCAATACTTCCCTTAGCCCTCGGCAAGCAGTGTCCCTGACCCACACCACGCCTTCTTCAAAAATATCTAAGTCCCGTTCTTAGGGCCAGCTGGGGCCAGCAGTACCATCTAGGCAGGGCACTCCAGCCCCCTTTTTAGAGCTCTGTCTCATGATCCTCTACATCTCTCCTGTGCTGTGCAGCAGGTGGAGCAGACGCCCTGAGCGGCTCTAAGGCTCCTGTCAGTGGGGCTCTCTCAGGGCCCTGGAGCCAGTTCAAGTCTAAGAGGGAAATCTGGTGAACATTCACTCTTTCCCATGATTGGACAAGATTGGGATATTGACACGCTGATTTGGAGCAACTCCAATTGTAAAACTATGGCCTCAGGACCCATTTACCCTAGGGAAAGACATGCTCATAGCAATCATATGAGGTATGCGTTCATTTGCATACCTTACAGATGGGGAAACTGTGACCTGGAGATAGTAACTTCCCAAAATAACACATTTATTAAATAGAAGAGCTGGGACTTAAATTCTGGAATGGCCAACCCCAAAGCCACACACTGAACGAATCCCCCCAGTTCCCTTATCTGCCTCCACTAAGACATGGATATCTCAGTGATGGTTACCCTCTCCTTTACCCAGGGCTCTCTTTGAAACTGTTCATTCTGTGTTCTCTTGTGATTGAAACTACTGACAAGCCATTGTCCAGCACACTCTCATTCACACACTGTTTACCTGGACTCCCCCTGACTTCCTGCCTTCTCCTACTGGCAGACTTTATCTCTTTCACGGTCATCAACAGCTCATTCCAAAGAGTTTGATTTGAATCTCTTTCAATAGAAGCATTCAGTAGAAGCACCAAACTGATTCACAATGGCTCCAAGAGAAATCAAATGTTCAGTTTTTATCCCTAATTGTACAATAACCTTTTTCTCCTCAATAAAGGAATTTTATGTGTCTGCCCGCATACAAAATGGATAGTGGAGAGAAGTGCCCTCAAGCGCAAAAGGCATGGCCAGCTGGTTCTGAATAAGGTTCTTCTAGGGTAGCTCATGTGGGGTCCAGGAGAAGACGCCGCGTTCCCCATCCCCACTCCGTACTCCCCTGAGAAGGATGAAGTAAAGATTGTTGAAGAGTGAGAGACCCAAGGGACTGTGAACACCAGCATCTGTCAGACGGGTACCCTGTCCTGCCTTAGCACTGGTCTGCCAGCCAGCCCCTCCCTGTTCTTGTCGAAGTTCAGTATAGCCATATATTAAATACTATTTCATACCCACTAGGAAGACTGGAATAAAAAAGTCAGATAATAACAGGTGTTCGCAGGTTGTGGAGAAATTGGAACCTTTATACGCTCTTGATGGGGATGTAAAATGGTGCAGCCACTTTGGAAGACAGTCTGGGACTTCCTCAGAAGGATAAACATTATAGTTACCACATAACCCCGAAATTCTACTCCTACGTATATACCCAAGAGAACTGAAAACATATGTCCACACACAAAAAACTGCACATGAATGTTCACAGCAGCATTAGTCACAGCAGCCAAAAGGTAGCAACAGACCATCAACTGATGAATGGATAAACAAAATGTGGTCTATTCATACAATGGAATATTATTTAACTGTAACAAGGAATGAAATAGTGATATATGCTACAATATAAATGAGCCCAGAAAAAAGGCTAAGGGAAAGAAGCCAGACACAAAAGACAATCTATTATATGATTTCCTTCATACGATATGTCCAGAAAAGGGAAATCTTTAAAGACCAAAAATACATTAGTGGTTCCTTAAGGCTGAGGGTGCGGATGGAGAGGTTGGAGTGGGGGTGGGGTAATAGCTGAAGGGCACGGGGTATCTTTTTGAGACAATAAACATATTCTAAAATTTGCTGTGGTGATAGTTGTGCATATCAGTGACTACATAGAAACCGCTGAGTAATAGACTTCAAATAGGTGAACCGTAAGGTATAGGAATCATTTCTCAATAAAGCTGTTAAAAATTAATTGCACGAAAACAAAACAAAACAAAGAACCCCAGTGTAGGTTCATGCCCTGACCTCGCCTGACCTTATGCCAACCCTGTCCTCCTTTCCAGTTGTCTCAGGTGGCATACATCCTGCTCACTGGCTCATCTTCACATGTTTGTAGGAACCATATGTGATACCCTTCTGCCTTCTGTATTCATGCTGGCACTGATTTTGACAAGAAGTGAGCAGCTGGGTAGGTGTCGTTGTCATTAACAAAGGCACAATTCCAACGTCAGAGTCCGAAAACTGCGAGGTGCAATTGCCCTGTCCTGAGACTGGGCTCTCCCCACTTCTTTCCCAGGCAGATGGATGAGTGACCACATGCCAATGAGCTCCGCTGAAGGAGCCTCAACAAGTTCTTTCAATATTATAAGCACTTTCCTTTTTTTTTCCTTTGAAATATTTCATAAGATGAGCCTTACGTAGGCAGTGATACAATTTAGACCTCGACTTTACTAAGGTCATTCTTTACTCATGTCATTCTGCTGCCCTGAATATTTCTTTTCTATTCATCCTTTATCACACAAAAGAACAGCATCTATCAATAGAGATCTTTCTTTTCTATCACACTTCCAATTTTGACAATCATTAGTATCAAGTTTAGAAAGAGGCACATTTGTTGCTAAGATAATAAAACCATAGACAAAAATACCCTCAGGATTTAGCTCCATAGCTAAATTCCCCTGGCCTTTGCCCCACTAGTTATATATGAAGAATAGTGTTTCCCCTGAAGAATACATTTTGGAAGAATAATTCTCAGCGGTATTTTATTATTAAGCCAATGAAAACAGAGAGTCCAGAGCAGGCTCTTGCACTTACCCAGAGGATCGACGCTGTTAGCCAGGGTCTCGGGTATGCAGCCGACGTCACGGTACAGATACAACAGGTGGGTGACAGTGGCACGTCCGTGCATGGGGCGGGGGCTCACAGGGACGCCCACGTCCTCGACAACCAGCCTCCTTCTGTAGGAGCCCCTGGTGCTGGTTGTCCCGGAGGAGGTGACTTTGCTTTTCTCAGAGCTGCACAATTTCCCCAGACACTTTAAACCAAGCAAGGAAGGCATCTTGGCATGGGTTACAGGGAAATGAGGCATGGACACCAGGGTGCCAAGCAGCTGCGATTCCCCACAACTCTCCAGACTCCTTATTGTTTTTTTCTCACTGCCCAGCAAAGAAGATTAAGGAAGATGTATTTAAGTGATTACCCTCAAGAGCTTAGGGCTCCCTATACGCAGATGATCAGGTATAAAAACAGCCCCTACTGGGAACCCAAGGCTATGCCAGGCTGAGACGTGAATGCATATCCAAATGTCAGATTGAAATGCAGAGCAAGAGAAAGGACACAGCTGCAGTATCTAAAAGAATTCGCCCACAAATATTCCTAGCAGGTTCAATATCTACCAGTAAGAGCACTGTGAGTAGGACTAGACGGTATATAATCTAACATGCAAATCAGAAAATAATCAGGAGAGTAAGTCCAAGTTCTCACATGTTGAGGCTCCTTTTCAGATGTCACAGAGACAAGACCTCACTCAAAGTTCTTCAACTTTAACTAGCAACAAATCCAGCTGCCAGCCACAGTAATCAGTCCTTTCCATTTTCTAGAAGGAAACCTCTCCCTCTCATGCCATGAATGTCTTTCTGCCTCATTCCATTAATCTAATGATAATGATATTTATGTTGTTTCCTGGTTTCCTGCTACCGCAGACTCTAGCAGAATCACAGGATGGAGAGAGAATTGCCGTATAGGTAGCTGTGTGTTTTCACAAAGTCACAAGCTAGCAGGGTACTGATAGACAAAGGCCATCCCCGGTAATGAGAATTTACCCTCTGACATCTGCTCAGTAAGGTCAAGTACAGTATGCGACAATCTATAGCTACACAGTAGTCCCAAGTCGGAGAGAATAAACCCATACTCTCATTCCTGTCATTGGGCTATTGTGTTCTAATAAATTTTCTATTCATTAAAACCCTTACATATTTTAAACTGAATAGAATTATAGAGCTCGAAAGGCTTCCTAAGATAACCTAGCCTAATGGTTCCCAAATATTGCTGCACATAAGAATCTTCTGTGGAGTTTTTGGAAGAATACAAAATCGAGGGGCTAGTTCAGACCTCCAAATGAGGTTCTTCAGGGGTGGGACCCAGGAACTCATATTTCTCAAAGTTCCCCAGACCAGGACCAACCATCAGGAAGCACAGATCTACTCCAGCCCTTTAACTTTAAGGTGAAGAAAGTAAGCGTCAGAGAAGCTAAGTGACTTTCCTATGGCCACACAGCAAGCCCATGGTGGAGCCAGGTCTCCTGACTCCTATGTTCCTATGACTGTTCCTCCCACAATCATCAGGTCCTTCTACAAGAGCTGTAAGCAGATGAAGCAGAGAAAGGACAGCCTAGTTCAATTGTTGCTAGCTCCTAATCTTTAATGCAGCATTCTACAACAGAGGTCAAGAACCAGAGAGTTCAAATTTGCTAGAATGATTCTAGCTCAATGGGAAGCCCAGTAGGAGTGGAGGCAACACGCTCTGTCCCAGAGGCGTCATACTTGGGTGCGGCTGGAGAGAGTAGAATTATGGGAGGTGCCCCATTATTCACCCCATTCATGCGTTGAATTTTCTGTTCTCAAATTTTAGGAATTAAGCCCTGTACTAACATTGTCCCCAGAAATAACCCTTCAAATGTCATCCTCTGGAAATAGTTTACAAAGCAGGTAAAACACTCTACAGGTGTCCTATTTCTTGGGTGTTTACTTCAGAGAGCCTTAGGATATACAGTGGAAGGTATTTTATTGACACTTCCCAAAGTATGGTTTCTGAATCAATTTGTTTAAAACACAGATGCCTGAGGCCCATCCCAAACCCACCAGGTTCTTCTAGAATGTTTTTGTAATAAACATTGTAGTGTGGGAACCTCTGCCCTATACCATTAATTCCTTCCTCCTGTGCTTAGCTTCCTACAGCTCTGCTCTTTGCAAAGTGAGACCATGAGCAATACTACCTGCTTATGTGTTCACCTGGCTTGTTTGTGAAACACATATGTGTGTTTTTATGGAAAAGCTGGATGCAGACACTTTAAGCACAGCCTCCATACATGCAAAGTACAAAGGCAGAACTTAGACAAGTAAGATGAACATTTTCTTCAAATCCAGCATCTTCTGAACAAGACAAAGTGTAACTTTTCCATGACTACACCATTCTGGCTTTTTGGCCCCTGCCCTTGTCCAGCACTACCCACTAAAATGAATTTGATAGCACCAACTCTACACCTCAACAGTTCAACACTTAGCCGTTTTATCGGCGGAACATATTGAGGCCACCCCTACATTATTGGACAAGTTTATAGGTCCATATAGCTAAGAAGTAATTGTGTAAATTTAAATTTATCTTCAATAAAAGAATTATAGGTAAGTTTAGTATAGTTTATGATTTTTAGGTCAGAATAGAGCACACTAAACATGGACCATAAAGAAGGCTGAGAGTACATTTGCTTTTAAAGACAATCTGATGACAGGTAAATGTGAGGGCTGACTCCTTTCTCAGGCAGTGGAGAGGGTTAAGGGTTCGGGTGCTGGGTGCTTGGGGGTTAGAGCCAGCAGTGACAGTGGGTGCCCGTGAACTGAGTTCCACTTTCCAGGGCGCCTGTAGTTCTTAAACTTTTCTCTTCCACACTGTCCAGTGTAACCATTCCACAGAGGCCCAGCCTCCAATCTTAAAAATATACTGTCAGCGCTATCTGCCTGAGAGCAGGCTCACCAGCCATGAAAACACAATGTGGAGAAGATCCCTGGAGAAGCACCAGGGGGCCCATTGCTCCCAGTCCTGCAAGAACAGCAGCCTCTCGCCACAGCCCATATGAAAGAACAGCCACAGCACTTTGGAAGCAGTGCAGTGGTTTTTGTGACAATTTATGTGGTTTTACAACAAGGTATCACAATGCACTACACTACAAAGCCAATGCTAATTACAAATGCTTAACTTTCACCCCGGGTTTTGTTGGCCTGCATATTTGATCAGAAACAGTTCCATTGCACCCAAACAAGCTCTGCTATAAAAAAACAATGAAAAGGAACCATCATCCGCTATATTCACCAAAGGACTTCAACAGCATCAAGAGGCCCTGAGCCCTCCTCCCTCACATACCGTGGAAGCTCAATAATAAAATGACCCCAACCTCAGAGCCAGGCATTTGGGGGCTACACAGTGCTCAAGGGGTGGATGATGCCTTAATTTGGTTCTTAATTCTCCAATCACAGGACGTTCCCCACAGTAATTCTCCACAAATGAACTCTGACTTTTCTTTAATTTTATTCTATGTAATGATTTGGGTCTTTTTTTTTTTTAATTGGACAAATGTCTCCCCTGCCCCCTTTAGATCATCTGCTAAGATCTGCCTGCCTCTTGTTAAGAAAAAAAAAATTAAGAAAAATCACCACCTTTAGAATTTGAATCCTTATGGGATTTAGTTTTCTAAGGAAATGGTCTGAATTAATAGCCAGTGGCTTTGTCAGTGACCATGGGGTCACTTGCTTTTCAGTTTTCATTTTAATCAGAAATGAGCAAACAAAGAACTCAGCGAGCCCACTGAAAACATCTGCAATAGCTCAGGGTATGCAGGATGATTTTTGCTGCTGAGAGGAACAGACTGGGGGGAGAAGCAGCAGAGTTTAAGGGGGAGGGCTCAGTGGAAGGGCACAATGGGACATCCTGACCAGGATGCCTAGGCCCATTGGAGGTGCCCCTGCTCCAGGCGGCGCCTGTTCCCTGCCACCAGCAAGGCTTACGTTTAGTCCTCTTCACCTGCATCATCCACCCAGCGCCTCTCCTTGGCAAAGCCGAAAGCTGAAAGGGTCTTACCCATCCCTCCAAAGCAGGCGGTGATTCTCTGTGCGCACTGGCACAGGCTCCCGTCCGGGTAGGGCTCCTCTGGAAGGCCAGCTCCGTCCATCACGCTACACGCAGCTGCCTCTCTTCTCGTAATGCCACCCGCCCAAGACCTGCTCAAAATGGAACAGGCAGCCAAGCCCCCTCTTCCATATCATCTCCATTAATAATTCAGATACTACATAAAATCTGCTGAGCATTCAGGATTGAGAGCACCAAGGCACTCTGAGGACTGAAGCATAATTAGTTTAACAGACAGCAAGTGTCTCAGATTACCCTCTGACAATACTCTCCATAGGCAAGATTTCCAAATGGCAATGAGAGCCATGCTTGGAATGCCTTCAGGGAAGCAGCCGCAGATGGGAATTTGCTGGGGGAGGGTCGCAGGCACCAGTTCTCCCGCGCCACTAAGCTCAGAGCCCGTATGTTAGACCAGGCTGCCCCGTGAATCTGTCCCGTCGAGTCAGAGCACTGTTACCCACCACATGTCACCGCCCACCAGGCTGTGGTCTCCCCCAGCGGCCAAAACTTCTCTGTGGCCTCAGCACACCCATTCGTCCCAACCCTTAATCCTTCCCGGGTTTGCTTTTCCTGAAATTCCTCAGCTTCTCCCATTGGATCCTTCTGAAAAATCCACCCGTCTTTCAAAATGTCGTCCAACTGTTGCCTCCTCCATCAGGGTTTCCAGACTCACTCCAACTAGAATCAATTTTTTCCTGCCATGTCCCCAAATAGCAGATCTACCGTGGCAGTTATTATATCCTGTCTTGTCATACAGCTACCTGGAGACTGTCTCATCCCCCTGCTGGCTGATAGGCTTCTAGAGGGCAGGAGTCTTGCCTGGGTCACCTGTTCCTTCACATTGGACTCTATCCCTACTAGGTGCGCAATGCCTCGTAAGGAGAACTCGACAATTCTCATTAAGAAGTGACTGTGAACTATGAGCACCCAATATTTGGTTAACAGTCAGCTATCAAAGACAAAACACACTTTAGTCACTAGGAACTGCTCTAATGCAAGAGGAAATCGCACACATTCTATACCAATCGGCCTGAGAACAATTCTCACCTCTGCAGCTCTAGGATGCAATTACCCTCCTGCTGGCCAGAGCTTATTATCTAAGTGCCACTGAACTGGGAGGCACTAAGTGACAGGCACATGCCTGAGAGGCCAGGCCAGCTGTGGC